GAGTCGTCCGGCCAAGATTTTGACGTAACAAGGCCTGATGGCTGAATCGGTGAGTAATCGCCGTTACCGAGTTAGCGCGGAGGGGCTCACGCCTCACGAGCGTGTATTCAGCCCTGAAGGCGCTCTCCGACACCGTCGGCCGCGCTCCTCTTATCCGCAGGGCGGGGCTTAAGTGACATCATGAACGACGGTTCATGACACTCCCCGCGCAAAAGGAAATAGTTGGCACAGACGCTTTTCGCTTTGTTCTGCGTCCTCCCCGCGGAACGTTAAAAATGAAGGGAAAATTGATCTTTGAAGGGAGTTGATTTTGAAGGTATAAGCGCATATAAACCACAACGCAAAGAGAAACAAATGAGACTATACAAATGTCCAATTCAATTCAAACTACGAAGTATCACTGATGTTGGGACGATTCCCGTCAAGTGTCGTCGTAATCGGAATGGTCCTCTAAGTCGCTGCCATTACACCGGAGATCCTCGCGTTCCAACTTTGACTTTACTATTATGTTTTTTGAGTTCTTTTCTTCGGATTTTATTCAAATTAAAACACTTTCTGGCTGTTCGAGAGGATGTTATGTGTCGAATGTGTCTTTTATTGATTCCTACAGCCGAGAAAAATGTTTTATTGAGTACGGTATATTGAAATCGATTACATGTTCAGCAATCTACCAATAGTATTGGATTAAATGGAGTAAATCGACCGATAGCATCAAACTAAATCTACCAAAGGTTAAGCAAAGGAAAAAAAGTTCAAGAGGCCTGTTGAAGCGATTGAACTTGAACAGACTTGAGAGTTGAAGTGTTGAACGAAGTTAATCAAGTTGAAATTGAGAAAGTTGACAGTAAATTTGAAACATTATTGAACGGAGAACTTGAAAACTTGAGGTTTTGAATTTGAAGGAGTTGAAAACGAGAAATCCGAAATAGATTGAAGATTCACAGATTGATAGAATTGAGAGTTGAGATTTGAGGAATTGAAAGGATACACTTGAAACATTGAAGAGTTGAAAGACATTGCTTGAATATATGGAAATTAACTAATTGAGGAGTCATTCTAGTGGAAACTTGTGTGGGCAGAAGGCACTGTTATGTTTCACCATTTCCTGTTCTCTTTTCGCAAGTTTACAATAATGGCAGACTTTGTCAGTTTACAGGAAGTTGTGAGATGAGAGGCTTTTTAAGGCACCTTCACAGCGACGGCTTCGTTTCAAGATGCACGCACTAAATCGTCGCAAAGCGTAAAATATGTTTAGCAAATCAGTAAGCAAAGTGATCGGACTCTCACACAAACCGAACATTTGTTAACGCTGCATGTTGAGGGGTTGTATGCTGAACGGCATCGATCCCTGGCTGTGGGAGATGGCTCCTGACTCGGAGGGTGCCTTAACTCCTCGAGCATGGCTCATCTGCTTTTGAAGATTGAAAATTTGCGTGAGGCCATCCAGCATTCATCCACCATCTCTTTGAGAGTGAATGTCCGGCGTTCCACGATGTGTTCACGCTAAAGTGATGGTAGTTACTTGACAAGAAATTTCTATTAAATAATTGTGAGGTAGTGCCTCATCAATTCTTCGAACTTTTATTGATTTGCTTGGAATATTTGAAGGCTCGTCATTTTTCGGTTTTTTCCTTTCCTTTTTGGGAAAATTCGTCCTCGTCCTAAAAAAATTCTTTTACCAACAGAAAGAGTGCAAAAGTGGATTACGACGTTTGAAAGATTTTGAAAGTCATGGAATACAAAACTAGGATAAAATTGAGTTTGCCGAAGATATCGGATTGAAGTTCAAATGTAGGTTTTAAGTTAAAATTAAAGTGGGTGTTGAAGAATAGTCAATAAATTAATAGTTAATTAGTTGATTCTTGAATAATAGGGTACTCACATACGTACTATCAACCTGATTTCTCATCGAGTTGAGGTCATCTGTTCGTCCAAGTATGCGTTGAATTTTCCGGTGCATTAGTGGGATTTCTTCATGGTCCCTGTTCAGTCGCGCTTCCCCCGGCTGGAGTTGTTGAACTTGAGGAGCTTCTTGAAGTTGTTGCTGCTGTGGTTGCTCGTTGTGGCCTGCAGCATCTTCCGGCTCCATAGGAACTTCGTCTTGCTGTTCGTTGATTTCCGCATCATCGGCCATTTCTTAACTAATATTGGTTATTTCTTCAATATTGATGTAAGAAGGTACGAAGTTTGTGCGATAAACGCGTGTTATGAATTCTTAAAATTGAAGTGAACATACATATACAAAACTGAGAACATCTCGATACTAAATTACGTTTGAAGTTGGAATTTGAGAGGTGAAAAAGGGGTTTTGAATCTCAAAGGCGTCTGAAAATGGTTTGAAGTGCCTTCAATGGTATTCTTATGAGGAGAAAGACAATATGAAAGAACTTCTTGAAAATGATGAGGCCGGCGAGCAGGATGAAGTTGATTTGAAGCACTGAAGTGGGGCTTGTTGTTGCTCGCAACGCCTGCGTTGGACTTGCGCAAAGATGCGCAATGCTGATAGCGAGCAAGCATGAAAAGCCTATGAGAACCACTAGTGTATACAAGTAGAATGTTTTGCATATTTCAAAAAAATGATTGAAATCAGGGAAGTCCCATTCGACAGTGAAGGAATCGTTGTTTTCCGTATGGTTATTGAAAATTCTGGTATACTTCCATATTGGATTGATACCATTTATGTAGTTCAATGCTCCTTGAAGCTCCATTATTACTACTTGGGAACCGCACTTCACTTGACATTGTTCTTTTACTCGAGCCCTGTTGAAGTACAGTCTTATTTCGTTTTGAAACCCTTCTCTTGTACAAGTCAGCACGAATTGCCTTATTGCCGCATGTGACTTGTGCATGCGCTTGTTGTACATCCGTTTTACAGTAGATTTTTGCTACGGCACCCTTGAAACAATTATAGCATCCAATGAAGGGAGCTGGGACGATATCGCAGTTAAATTCTGCAATACTTTGAGCCAGTTCTATGATTGAAGGGATCGATATTTATGGCTGTTTCAACCGAGACAGCGGACGTGCGGATTATCGGGAGGTGTTTGGGCCCCACCACTACTATTCCACTTGAAAGTGGTAAGGGTAAAGTGTGTGATAGCCGCCGCGTTTTTGCTATTGTATTGTGTGCGCAATAGCAGAGACACAGCCCTCCCTGAGAGAGTCCTCCTGCAGTGATGCACTAATTACATCGCACGATATATCTCTATCTGCAGGGTTATGAAGAATTTGAGGTAGTTGCGCGGAATTGAGGTGCAAGCGTAACTGAACGTTGTGTCCTCGTCCAGGTACGCGGTTGTTTTGTTATTTGTTATGAACTGTATATATTGAATAAATATTGGTGAGAAGGAGAGCGAGGTCACCTCTGTTCTCGTTCTACCAAGCAATCCGTTGGTATAAACGTTGATTCCCCCTGTGTAGATTTTTCATTTTTTTTGAAAAAAATTTCTGTCAGCAGCTTACTTTGAATTGATGTCTCATGCCACAAGCATTTGAAAACCTTGTAGAAGCTTTCGTCCGTAGGTACATGGTAAACCCGATAAAATAGGCAACCCGATGACGGGAACCCACAGGAACAACCGAGTCCTCCGTACGATTCCGTGCAGTAAGTTATCCCTGTGAAGTTATTCGATATCGAGTAGCATTAACCAATTGAGTCAGGTGAAATACCTGCTCACTTGAGGCCAACGCAAGATCCTTCATAAGGGCACTTTTGCTGTATTGAACATGGGTTCGAATGTCTTGAGTGAAGTGGATAGCATTTCCTTTTGGCACCTTAATATCATCTCTTGCATAGTAATTTTCATCATATGCTTCTGAGAATCCTCATGTTTGACTTTTGATTGCATACTATTGAATTTCGCTACTACTGTTGTGTGGTTATGACATTCTCACCTCTACATTGGGCGATGGTCGAGGGTATAAGTAATACCTGCTTACACCCTCCATTAACGGTGCTTGACAAGGGATACATCCAAAACATAGTCAATGACTAATAATGGTGGAGGCTTTCCACTTTCCGTTGGTGTCATTATTTTTTTCTATTAAGTGAATACACTCTGTTGACTGGCCTACGTTGGATCTGTCTTCTTGAAAAGCAGCGTTTTACTATGTTGAGCTTATTCCAAGTGCTTTTGCAACCTCTGGCATAGTCCCCGAACGGTGCGAAGTATCAGATAAACCGTTATTAGAATTACGCAGAGGAGAGTCTTGCTCTCTTTGCTTGTGCAAAGGCTCGCTACCAATGCGAGCATGAGCCAACGCTGCCACAATGTCATTGATCGATTTGCAGTCGTTTGCGTGCGTACGGTGTTCACGCAATAGTTCACCCGTTCTTTTGCACGCCGTGGCAGCCATGGTCGCATTCGTTTGTCTGCATCGTTGTGTTGCGGGGTCATGACCTCACAATCAGCAACGGTGCCATCAGTGACAAGTTTCCGTGGCTCCTCCGCAGGAGACTCGTCTTTTATTGATTTTTGTTCGTTATTGTCTTGTTGAGACAGGTTTCTTTCCTCTATTTCTAGCGGAACAAGTAAATTTATTGATCTCGCGATGTTGGATTTTGCTGTTTTCAATTCAACGGATCTGATTTCGCCGTCTTGATCTTTAATAAGTTTCGTTACTAAACCAAGAGGCCATTCTCCACGTGGTTTACTTTCATCCATCACAAGACAACTTCACCAAGGTAAGGTTGCTTCCTTGTGAAGCTCTTTTGATTTATCCGGGTTTGATGGAAGTTCCGTAGTTCTAACAAGTAATTGTCAGTCCAGAATTCCCACAACTTTTGCAAATAACCCAGATGTTTCTGAAAAAGTTGAATTGTTTCTTCTTTCGTTGATATTTTGTAAAGTACTCGGCATCTTCTTCAGCTTGATCGACCGACGGCAAAAGGTTTACATTCGCATATGGTATGATGAAGTCTATTGGTCTAAGAATAACCGAATCCTCCACTGTACTACCAGAGTATGTAAGCGGTCTCGAATTGACCATAGCTTCACATTCTGGTATTACAGTAGTGAACTCGCTTTCGTGTATGGATTTCTTTCGTGTTATTCTTTGAGAGTGGACTTCATTATTCCTACCATACGTTCATAAAATCCCCCTTTCCATGGAGATAATGGTGTTATGAATTTCCATTTGATTCCTTCGTTTGAAAGGTAATTTTGAATCGTTTGAGCAGCAATTTCAGTCCGATCGCTTAAGGTTTCAATAATTTCATGTCCCAATACGAAATTTGTCGCATTGTCAGAAATTATGAGTTTTGGTTTACCTCTTCGCGCAACAAATCGCCGTAAACCTTTATG